TCTCTGCAAAGGAAAGCTTCTAAGGCTACCTACCATACTTCTGATGATGATGGTGACTATGCCGTAAAGAATGGATACTCGATTATCATGAAACTGTCTTCGTTTTTGACGAGACCGTTTCCAGGTATATGATCCGAGCAGAAATTTAATCAAAGGAACGAAATAACTATCGCCAATTCTTCGAGGAAACAAATTATGTCAAAATTAAAGAAATATTTCGTCATTCTATTTTCTTTTCAAAAAAAAAAAAAAAAACTTTATTGAGGTAATGAAATTNCCCAGTTTATTATGGATTCGGTGCTCGTCGGTCCACTGCTTCCAAACTCGCATCACTGTGGAACTGTTCCGCTGCATACGAGCTGCTATTGCGCGATAGGAAAATCCTCCTTCTCGAAGGCCGATTATCCTCCCTCGTTCAAACTCCGTAAGTTGCTTGAATTTCTTATTCTTCCGTCGTGGAGGCATACTCAGGTCTCACTAAACGTTTGCCACTAACAAATAATCATAGACTATTTTCAACGTCCCGCTACAGCACTTTATTTATACGAGCGCTTTCAGCATCAATTCAGAGGGCGCTGCGCGCGCCACGCACGCGCGATGGCTCTGAAACTTTATTAATTTGCATAATATCCTATAATTGACATTTGCTGCGAATTTCATTTGATTCTGATGATTCCTTCATGGTGTTGCATTTTCTACAAACAGCAGTTTAATAACAATAAAAAATATGATTCAATGCTGTATCGACCACAATGTTGATACCGTGAACCATAATAACCAGTGTGAAAATTCGTATGTTAACACGAAATGTTACTATTCGTAAGCGTTAAATTAAACTATTCTTCAGTTCGAGTTCAACTATAGTATTGTGTTGTCAAGCGTAATCAGTTTTTTGCCTTCTTTTTTCTACGTGGCAATGCGGTCACTAGGAAAAAAAAATATTAAATGTGAAAAGTTGTTTTTTTTTTCTTTGTTCTACATGTCAGGAGAAAAAAAATTCTCCAAACCGAAACTTTTGCGACTATTTCATCTGAATCAATTTTCACACTTTCATTGAGAGAAACATAAGTTTTGTATCTTCATTTCTGCATATAGCTCAAAATCTGGCGCGTCTTATTTCGAACAAAAGATTTTGAGAGTTATTCTTGGAAGAGTCAATGAAAGAACATGATTACTGGTGAGGAAGACGCAAAACATAAATTTTTAAATGTTTTAAGGAAACGACATCATGAAATGCATCAAGATCAATAGACTGAACTGGGCTGCTTGTTTTGGTAAAGAAGAGAAAGACCGAAGTTGCGATGAATAGACTCAATTGAGAGAGAAATTTTGGAATCCTAAGGGTGAAGGTATAGAGCTCACAAGTCTAGATCTCTGAACTAGAGAATTATTGCCACTCAGAGAGATGCTGGGAAATCTCTGCAAAGGAAAGCTTCTAAGGCTACCTACCATACTTCTGATGATGATGGTGACTATGCCGTAAAGAATGGATACTCGATTATCATGAAACTGTCTTCGTTTTTGACGAGACCGTTTCCAGGTATATGATCCGAGCAGAAATTTAATCAAAGGAACGAAATAACTATCGCCAATTCTTCGAGGAAACAAATTATGTCAAAATTAAAGAAATATTTCGTCATTCTATTTTCTTTTAAAAAAAAAAAAAAAAAACTTGTTGTACCTAATGTATCTAACTTGTAAAATAATAATTTAAACGTGGGCACGATATGCATGCCACGAAACAACAAGGACAGACAGATAGATAAATTACACCCATGCCCGAAGAGGGGTTTGAACTACGGATCTTTCAGGTACAGGGTCAACTTTTTGACCACCATACAAACCGGTCAGCTTATTTCGTCAACTTATTTTCGATTGTCTAGTCCAGTGGTTTCCAACTGGTGGCCCGCGAAGCCTTTTTTTGTGCCCCGCGAACTAAAATATATTAGTAGTCATTTTTTGCGGACAATTTTCTTGAAAAATCTATATGGGTTTAAAAAACTTTTCTCGTTAATAAAAACCTAATTTCTTCGTTTCTGTGAAATTTATCATACCAACGGTTCAAAAAATTTTCTCTCAGGTTTTGCATCTAAGAAAATATTTATTCGAATACAAAAATAATCGTATATGTTGCTCTTTTTTATTTCTTTTTTTGCATTTTGTGAGTATAATTTAGCAGGTGTGTATCAGAAATTTTCTCGAAGAAATTCTCCGATTTAACTTTTTGAAACCACTCATTTTGGGCGAAAATATTTACACCCACACATTTGTAAATTTTAAATCTAAATATTTATTCTCTGATGGTTGCAACAGACAAAACTCAATTTTTTCGTTGAAAATTTTGTGTGCTACTATGTAAGTTTTAATACCAACCTTTTTAAAGTTTTATATCTTAACAATTAGATATCTGTTACGCATTAATTGTTTAATACATAGGTGTACATTAAAGTTATTGTAGCCCAAATTTTTTAATATGCAATTAAATATTTTTTGAAATCTACTTCTTATTTTAATATGTAATTCAATACTTTTGTTTTGTACAACTTGGTAAAAATCTGACAGTAATATTTAATGTTCTTTCAAACATAAAAGAGTCATACATAAAATTTTGATTAAGTTGCGGCCCGCCATTTGATTTTTGTTTTTAATTGTGGCCCCCGACCTCATGTAAGTTGGAAACCCCTGGTCTAGTCTTTATTCTAGTTTCGTCATTCTAGTTAACAATCTCTCAAAATGCCTTACGAAGAGGTTTCGAATTGAGAAGACATTTTCGTCATACATTTGAAAGTTCACGTTTCGTCACAAGTCACGTGATTTCGTTACGAAATGATTCTCAAGAATTGCTAAATCGTCAAAAATGAGAATTTTATTTCTGAGAGAGTATACTCAAAACACTCTGAAACGGAAACCAATTCCGAAGCTTATTTGGATAGAATTTTTGTTTTTTTAAAAAAAATTCAAATGAGCAATTTTAATTTGATATAAAATAGGAAAAAAATTTAAATTTCTCATAGCGTTAAAAGTGAAAAGATATTTTTTTGTAAGGGTAAAAATAATCATAATTTTCCCCAATATACTTACTACGTTAGTGGAAGATTAGTGTCAATTAAGACATCGAATAAATTAATTGAATTTTAATAGAAATGTCTTATTAATTGCCTATTTATTTATTAATTATTATAAGTTGTTAGCTAAGCTGTTAAGAGATAGTTTCGAGCAGAACAGGATCTCGTCTTCCGTATAATATAGAAATTCCTATTTTGATTATTATTTCAGCATTATCATTTATTGCTGTATTTTTTTAATATTTGAAACGTCAAAATATAATTTTTATGTGTGCTTAAGTAAATAATAAAAAAAAAATAATCACTGATCAGATTTGTACTACTAACTATCCTATGTTGACTACTAGAGATGAGTTAGGACTTACTTTCTAAAGGTCCGAATCCGAGACTGAGATTAAAAAGATATACATCTATGCCCGAATCCAATACTCAATACGACAGTTAAAGGGGAAAAGTCTCAAAAATAATTAAGCCAAAAATTATAGAAAGAAATACAAAATAAAACATATTATTAAGATTAATTATTTCCTTACATGATACTTATAAATTTTTGACGCTTCTAAATTTGTACATATTTTTATTCTCTTTAACCCCTTTGGAACGAGCGATTCATAAAATCATTCGTACAAAATCAGAATCAAGATTGAAAAATAATAAAAAGCGGAAGCTTAAATGTGGTCATTGAGAATTTGGCAGACTTATTTATTTTTGTTTTTTTTTAACTTTAATCAGTGTTAGTGTAAACATGCATCTAATCAATGAACTGAACTGAACTGTATAAAACATCTGTCCACCTGAGCCGCTTGCGGCCCTTTTCTTATTCATCTTTAGCTTGGTTTTCTCTAATCAGATATTACAAATAACAACTAAATAAGCTGGTTGAAGTGAATTGTGTTCTTAAAAAATTGATTTATTGAATGAAGAAAATGTTTTTTTTTTTTTCTTTTTTTGGTTGTCATATCGCTTTAATTTTTTTTAAGCAAGGAAAAAAAGAAGAAGAAAAAAGCAAACTAGCGCGTGATTTCTTTCTCCGTAATTCTTATATTTCCTTTTTGCATAATGAGCACTTGCAATTTTATACAGTGTCAATAACACAATGTTTATAACTTGATTCAAATCATTGATTATAGTTCCCAGACGAAATATGCGATTTTTAGATCAAAGAAAAATTTAAAGTTCTTTTTTTTCCTAATAAAAAATTATTTTTGTCGAGATGTTTTTCAAAAACTGTCAATTAAATTAAACACAAACTATACACAAAATTAAAAGTTACATAAAACAATAAATTTCGGGTTTTATTCTTTTATATTAGGTTTAGAAATATAAATAAGTCATTTTATAAATAAAGGATTTCTTTAATAATCAAAAGAAAACATGTGCATTATTAACACAGTAAAAAAAAAAAAGATAGAGAAATCTTTTTATTTTCCCTAAAGTGTGTAAATGCTTTCAAAATACTTTTTTGTTTATAAATTTTAAATTGCTAATTTATCCTTAAAAGAGAGTTATTATAGATTATATAATATTCAAAATAAAAGTATAGGACTGATATTATATGAGAAAGAATTATTTCAAAAATGCTTTGCTTTAAAAAAAAAAAATTTCTAAGACATTTGCTTATTTTCTCATTTTTTAATAGAAAATATATATTTTTTTTCATTGTCAATATTTATGTAACATTCTAAGTTTTGAAAAGAATTGAAAACTAATTTTATCATAATCCTCGATAAAATAAATTCTTTTTAAAAAAAAAATCCTTATACTTCATTACAGGAAGGATGATAAGGATGAATAACAAATTTGCAACAATTACTACAATTGTAAATATTACGAAAGAATTACGGCGAACGGAAGCGATTTTTACCTGAAGTAACCTAGTTCTCTGTTTCTGCAATAGATGGCGATACCGTAGCATATAACGTAATGTACAATGAAAAATTTCCTCAGAAGGGATTTTGCCGCCTTTGTGGTACTTTTGATGATTTTTCTATCAGTACGTCGCGCCAATTTGTAATAACAAAACTGGTTTGTGATTGTGTGCGTTGGGCAGTGACCTGCTTTCAGATCATCACGGAATCGATAAAAGTGGCTCTCGTATAATTCATTAAAATATTTTGTTCGTGTGCATATCATTTTTACGACGTAGATCTCGATCTTGAAAACGACTTAAATGTTTTTCCTTCCATTCCTAATATTCATCACGCGCGGTCACCAGTAAAAATTCTACGGCAGTGATCGTCTGGTGTTTGTTTTTCGTTCGATCTAAGGATGAGCCTGGAGGAAGTGCGAAGTTGAAAAAGATCTGTCAATTCAGATTGTTGTGACTTCTTGATTCTGTGTGTGTGTATTTACGTCAAGGCAAGTGTTGATATGGATAAATTGAAAACTGCGTATATTGTTGTGTACTACTGTTTTTTGTTTTTGTGAGTGCAATCATTCCACTGATCATTTCGTTCTTATTTACTCCTCTTTATAAGGTGAGTAGTAGTTAGATTATTCTATATTTAGTTTTAAATTATCATTTATTTATTTTTTTTATCGAAATATTTATATACATCTGATTCATATCTTTATTCATGTCTGGGATTTATTGATTCTTATAGTCAAGTCTAAAAATTTTATTTTCATGCAAGTTTAATTTTTTTAGAAGTGTAACATTTATAGATTTTTCTAACCACGCGTTTTTTTAAATTTTATTACAGTATTTTAAATATACATGTGATTCATTGCTTTATAACATATTCTCTTAGTCGAAAAGTTTATATCTTGAAAGTAAATTTTTTAAATAAATTTTTATAGTTTTTTTACCAAACGTGTTTCTTAGACGTTTTTTGTGTTCCATTATGTTACTTTATTTTAATTTATTTCTAACTTATACTCTTTTTTATATCTCTCTTTCTATTTTTTCTCTTTAACTTTCCAATTTCGTTTATTTTAGGTAATGTGCTATACAATTTGCTATTATGTTAATCGAGAGTAAACGGTTCAATTTCTTCCAAAAATTTTTTTTTAAATAAATTAGAAATTGACAAAATAGTTTTTGGCTGTAATACGCTACGTATGGCTTCAAAACCGGCTTGATTCATTTGAAATAATCTGTATTTTCGAGAATCATTGCCACTCAGCCTTTACATCGATTTCAGTTTGGCATGTAAAAACGATCTAGGTTTGTTTATTCCTTATTTTCATCCACAGTTTCTCTTCTTTTTATATGTAAACTTTAACAATTATTTGAATTGAAGTTATACTAATGTAATTAAATTTATTTTGATCCTTTAATTTTATTTTCCGCTAAAATATTTTTTTAAAAATCAATTTTTCGAGTTTTTTTTTTTTCCTTTTAATATGTTTGTTTTCTTTAACTTTCCGTCTTTGTTTATTTTATTGTTGATCAAATGCCCTATTGTGTTAACATTGAATAAACAATTAAACTTTTTTTAAAAATAAAATTTTAGAGAATATTTTTTAGTTTTTGGCAAATACTATACGTATGTTTTCAAAACTGGCGTGATTAATTTTTATTCATTTGAAGTAATCGTTGAATGTAGAATTATAGTCACACATCCTTCTAATCAGCTGATTTTGGTTTGGTTTAAGAAAAAGATCTAGGTCTGTTAATTCTTTTAAGTTGTTTTCATCGCCCTTTTTTCTTTTTTTTATGTAAACAATTATTTGAATCAAAGTTATACTGAATTAATTCTATTTTGATCCGTTAATTTTATTTTAAAACTAGCTTCCATTTATATAATTATAATACTTAATTTTCCTAGTTATTTTTTAATTTTTTTCCCCCTATGTTTTTGTCCTTTTTTTTATGAAAGTACCGAAGTTTCGTTAGGTAAGATATTTTTTTCATAATAATTAGTATAATCAAAAACGTTGTTCGTTCTTTTCTTTTTTTAAATATTGTCAAAAAAAAAGTAACTATAGTCATAAGTAAAATTAAAATCGAGTAATAGAGCTTTTTTTTAATGAATAAACAAGCTGAAAAACTTATACAGCATTATAAAGAGCTCATACTAATTAATAATCTTAATCTTAAGAAAAGATACCTGATTCATCATAATTCTATAAATTAGATAAGATTTACAAAGGAAATAAAATTGAAATTGGCACAGTATTAGATTTAGAGAAAAATCTTAAAGAGCTTGATAATAATAGTTTATTAAAATGAAATTGTAATTAAATTTTGTTGTATCTCAAAATTAACATGTCACAACAATTTTTTAATTTATTTCTTTTTAAAAGAAACACACCTTGATTTAATGTCTACCTAATTTTACCTTCCCTAAGAGAATTAAACATTGCCCTTTTTTTTCTTGAATAGCCTGAATATTTTCGAAATAATGGTACTTATTAATCCAACAACGCACGAACTTATTATCATTAAACTTGTCACAGAATAAATATATATATATATATTTTATGGGATTATTTGTTCAACTTTGCGCCTTTATTCTTCAATCTCTTATTTTCTTCAAATGGGTATTTTTATTGGTTTCAGTTAAGAATGAAAAAGAGATGGTTAAGAGATCTCTTTTTTTCTTCAAATGTGTATTTTCATTGGTTTCGTTTAAGAATGAAAATAAAGAGATGGTTAAGAGATCTCTTATTTTCTTCGTATTTTCATTGGTTTCAGTTAAGAATGAAAATAAAGAGATGGTTAAGAGATCTCTTATTTTCTTCAAATGGGTATTTTCATTGGTTTCAGTTAAGAATGAAAATAAAGAGGTGGTTAAGAAATCTCTTATTTTCTTCGTATTTTCATTGGTTTCAGTTAAGAATGAAAATAAAGGGATGGTTTTATAAAAGTGCATAACTTCTTGATATTCTTTTAGGAACATTATTATTACCTCTCCAACCCGTTTCAGTTTACTCCACCGGTTTAAAGTGGCTAAACTAACAGATGGGCTTACCTAAAAATTTCCCCCGCATTCTTCTAGAAAGAATCCGGATTTGGGCGTTGGATTTGTTCCTTGTTATAACTACTACATATTTACTGTTAGAATACTCTTCCTAGAATCGAAGCTGCATATATAAGAATGTTGAATTTATTAAATAGTAGAGCTAAAGTAAATAATTATACTTTTTTTCTTCGTGTATATAATTGGATACCTGCCTCTTTTGAACAAGTATTATAAAATATTTAATCTGTTCACACTCAGGGGCCGATCAAGACAAATTCAGGCCTAAGGCCCTTAACAAAATATTTTGAAATTACATTTCTGAAGAGTAGTCCTAACAATAAAAAGAATCTATTGAACTGCATGATTCAAGAGAAACATTCTAAAAAGTTTTGAAAGCAGACAATTGAAGATTATTTTTCTAAGATAAAGTTTACGCATCTAAATATTAAAGCAGGGGTCTGTTTAAAAGAAATTTGGGTCCGTTAACGGACCCTTCACAAAATATCTTTTCATAAAAACGGATCCTTCACAAACTATTTTAACTTAAAAACGGACCCTTCACAAAATGATTTTTCTTTTAATCGGACCCTTCACAAATTGATTTTTCTTTTAATTTGTTTATCTTCATTATTATTTTGTTAATCGAATAAACCCTTTCCAGGGCAGAAAACAAGAAAGATGGATGTAAACGAATTAAGTTTTGTCTTCGGCAGACGATTCTTCCATTATTCGTCCGAAATTAATATTCTGCGTTCAGCAGTATAGGCTAAATACCAAATATTTGTATGTTGCATCTCTAATTTAGAAGCAGCAATTGTTGTTTATTTTTTAAAATTTAATTTTTTTAATTATAATTTTACAGTGTTGAGCATAATCTTGTATGTCTTTACAATTTAAAAACTCCTTAAAAAATTTTTTTTTTGCAATAACGGACCCTATTTGCACAAATTCATAAAAGCGGATCCTGGTTGAAAGAATGTGAGTAATTTTTTCACAATTTCACGAAAAACGGACCTTTCACAAAATGTCTGGACAGACCCCTGATTAAAGCGAAGTATAAAACAATGTTGTGTGAAAATAAAAATAGTTTGTTGACCACAAACAATTGAAATGAGTGATTTTTGCTAAAAGTCACTGATTAGCTTAATTATTTTAAATATTGAAGCCTTCCATATACAGCTTTGCATATTTATTAAGAATAAGCTTTTAGTTCTTGTTGACACTGATCATTTATAAGAGACTGTGCGAATATACATTCTCGTTGCATTTGCATTGCAAGCCGTTGGGGTAAAAATTGCACCAATTACCAATTAAAATTCAGCTGCACTTTCGAATTTGATTAGTGCAATGTTTACACGAGTTTGGTTTATCACAATATAAAGAAAATTTGAAATAAGAATTGCCTTTTTTGAGATAAACTGTTTCTTTCAGTATTTTTTTTTTTCAAGTAATATTGTGGGCTTTTTACGAATTTTTGAGGTCCCCCCAGAAAGTGTGGGCCCTAGACCTGTGCCTATTGGGCCTAGGCGATAATCAGGCCCTGTTCACACTTTTCCTTCTCATTTTTTTAAAATTAGGGTTTATTCCAGACTTATAGTAAAAAGTCTCTTTTGTGATATTGTGAAAAATTTATTCTCATAATTCTGTGAATTAGTGAAAATACGGTCACAAACATAAAGTTTGTTCACGTTCAGACTTTTTGTGAAAAATCTTAAAATTTACTGAATTTAAAGTTGATGTAGGAGCGTTTTTTTTTCTTTTTTGCGAGGGGAGAGAGAGAGGGTTTAAGAAAAGAGCGATAAAGAAATTTTAGAAGCTAATTTTCGTAAAATAAGTTTGGCAACCGAGCTACCTGAGTCACACCGCATTTCTGCATGAAAATTCATTGGAATCTATTTTAAACAGAAACTCTCTATTTGTGACTAAAACTGAATTGTCACTTTCGTTAATTGAACTCGTTAATTGAATTGTCACTTAATTGCAATTTAGTGGCTTCGTGTCATGAAAAAATACAACGTTCAAAAGTAAATTATGAGCTGGAGTTTAACAGCACGATGTTATCCATAGTTTAATCGCTATTTTTATATTGTTTGATTAACTTTTTATTAGCTAATATGATTCCTCAACTCTTCTTCATGCATTAAAAAAAATTCGCAATGTTTTTGTGACTTTTCTGAAACGTGAATGAAATGTTTTAATCGCGGTTTCAGTTAAGCAGACAATTCAACAAAATAAGCTAACATGAATTTAAAACTTCTTGAAGCATTCTCTTCAAATGTAATGCATTAATTACATTTCTGAAATCATTTGCCATGCTAAATGAATTTTTTAAAAGCGATGTACGGAAAATAAACGGGTCTCTCTGAATGACTTATGATCTAATGATCGGATCTTCACGTTCTAGGACCCAATCTAAAATGGTTCAACTAAATGATCTAAAATATGCTAATTAATTCGTGCAGACGATATTTTTAGTCTGAAAATCTGTCACAAAAACTAACCTTATTAATAAACATACCTTTTTTACGATTTTTGATCCCCAAAACATTGAGGGCAGCCTGGAGATATTT